GAATTCACAAAGACAGCTAGCTTCCGAAGCTAGTTTTATATTAGTGGCAATTACTATAAAAATTACTATAAACATACCTTGGCAAGGGTCCATGGAAGGCCCCTCTCTTTACTTAGATCTCTAATCTCGTTGGCTGAATTTTCATCCCAGTCAGTCTGTAGCTCTGAGTTTGTTGGGTTTAATTGGATTGACCCAAGGAGAGCCTTTTGTGCAAGCTGGACAATATGTGCGAAGCATGGTATATTGTAACGCTGACTTCTAAACGATAGAAGACACAGAGGTTCTCTTGCGTAAAGGTTTACTTATCAGAGGAGGCAGGGGATCAGACACAAAGGCTTCAAGTAACACGTTACTAGTATATAACAAATACTGTATTGAGTTGAGCACGAAGCTCCTATCTAAGGAAATACTATCTACTTATATAGTGGCGTCGTGCCTAGTGGACTCTTGGGAACTCACTCGAGTCCTCGGAGTCCTGGACTCTTAGGACTCTTCTCATCATCCTGCGAGTCCATCACGTGCCTAGTGTGTCATACTGACATTCGTTGCACTCAGTTTGCTATCAAACTCAAGAGCAAACTTAGAAATCTCCTCCTCAAACCTACAAGTCACCATACATATCTTGGCTTATCACACCAACAACAGAAGCAATACTACTCAACGATTGCTGCAAACTCTTCTACTACATCTGTTTATGCTACATACATCACGGCATATCATTTGGACACTCATTGAACAAGTTATTAAGAAAATCTCCTCCTTAAGGGGGTGGGCCAATACTACCACATGGCATATCTCTACCAACTAGAGGCCTAGGAACATGAACGATAGCTCTAGAAGCTTCTACAACCCTCTATGATTCATTACACGTCATCGCTCCTTAGTTACCCACAAGATTGGTTAAGTTATGACATAATTTATCTATAGGTACTCTGACCTTGGACCTCCTTTTCACTTCCTATAGGCTAGGAACCCAAGAGATGGTTCTATGGGATTCTCTTACGTTCACTACATGATTAGCAAGCTAGTTGTGGGTCGCACTTGATTTCTAATACATTTACCAAGCCTGGTTAGTCATGGAAAGTCATGGAAAATGAGAGAACTACACTCCTTTGGCATAAATAGGATTGCCCTTTCCTTAAGAAAGGGCAAGCAGACAATACAGTAAATCGACTATCACATACTTCCACGTCTTTTCCAAGCTTCCAAGCATTCATCTTGTTACTCCTTGTTTCTGAAAAGTCAGTGAGGTGTTAACCTCTGACTTACCCCTGAGTTCTCAGACTCAACATTTGTTGCAACTTGTCTAAACCACTTCACCACATCATACACCTGATTGCTGCGTTGTGGAATAGTCTAAGCTACAACCCTTTGGCTCTGTTTCCTAAGACAGTGTGTTGTCTTAGTAAATTCATCCCTTCCTTGGGTGGCTAGATTCTCATATCTGGTGCACCCACCATTACATAGTGGACTCCTGGGAACTCACTCGAGTCCTCGGAGTCCTGGACTCTTAGGACTCTTCTCATCATCCTGCGAGTCCATCACGTGCCTAGTGGACTCCTGGGAACTCACTCGAGTCCTCGGAGTCCTGGACTCTTAGGACTCTTCTCATCATCCTGCGAGTCCGTCACGTGATACTTTCGGAACTACTATTCCCCGCTGCCCCTCCAGGTACCAGGGCCGGTCTCATGCGACCTCCCTCCTTCCTGTCCTGTAGTTGGCCAGCCTTCTTGTTCCGTCGTAACATATATGGTGAATGACTCCATCATGGTATCTTGTTGGCTCTGATGATAGCTCTTTTACCATGTCATTAATAACCCCCATCATTGAAGTATTATTACTTGCATTATCAGTTGTAATACAATGAACTCTACCATCGAGGTGATATTGGGATATAACACGCTGGACAATGGTTGCAAGATCTTTCCCTGTATGGGCTCCATCAAGATACTCAAACACAATTAAAGCCTCACGGTATTCCCATTTATCAGTAATGAATGTTGCCATAATACCCATAAAGGAGTGCCTTGTTCCAGGGCTAGACCAATTGTCAAGAGATAATGCACACCTTGCCCCAGGTACAAGACCATGAAGGACAATCTGCTGTGCATTACTAACCATAACATCAAGGCGCCGCCGTAAGGTTGTTGGTGAAGGAAGTGGATATTTCTGATTCTGCCATAATGCCATCTCTCTCCAAATAGGATTCTCAACAGATCGGAATGATATGTTAAGAGATACTACAGTCTCAAGAACGTAACTGTAGAATGCTTCCTTTGGGTCGTCTTCTGGTTGTAGCCGCATACTCTAAATAATAGTTAGGTATGTTTATAGTAATAAGTATAGTAATATGTAATATTGCTTACTGGAGAGGATTGTGAGAGGCGGAGCTGGCTCTGATGTAATGTAGAATGGTTTGATGACTTCCTTATACACCCAGCTGATCGAAGGTGAGTGCTCATTGTGCTTGTCCCTGAGCCTTTAATACTTGGGTGGATGAGTATTTTCAAACACCTCTGGCAAACAATTACTGGTTCCCCAGTTGATTTTCGAGCTCCTTGGTCAAAGTGTCTCCATGATAATGAGGTCCGGGTTGTTGACCCCCAGTTGATTTGCTTATCAGTGCTTAAAAACATATTTGGCTGCTCTTTATACCAGGACTGGTAATGCCACCAGTCGTTGAATAGGTCTGCCTTTGAAGGCGTCCACTTTAGCACATTTAGACCTTGGATCTTTTCTAGCCCATCCCATTGGTTGTTAAGTTGTTGGGAGGACTCAATCTCAGGTGTTCTATTACTAGATAAAGGCTCATCAAGAGAGAATACATCGCTATAAGGTTGTGCTGGCGAACTTAAAGATTGGTTATAAGACATAATATTTTAAAATATTCAATAACGTAACGTATGGGGTAGTCGGACAAAAATGCCCGACTACCAACTCAGAACCTTCATACCTTCCACCATGAACATCCCACAACCATACAGTCATGCTCAGATTGAAGACAACATCCAAAAGGCTGTCATTGCGCTCCAATTGAAGGAATTCAAATCAATTAGACTTGCTGCAGACCACTTCGAAGTTCCTAAGTCAACTCTTGCTGATAGGATGTCTGGGAAGAAAACGCGTGCTGTAGCTCACGAAATTGAACAAGCTCTCTCAAATGCAGAAGAAAATACACTAGCACGATGGATTACACGTCTCACTGCCACGGGTTTTCCTGCAACTCCTATGTTGATCAAGGAAATGGCTGAAGAAATTCGCGTACGACGCGTCCAAATCACGTCTTCTCAAACCACTCTTCAGACCAATCCTACCCCCATAGGCCATGAATGGATCTATAGATTCTTAAAACGACATCCAAACTTTAAAGGGGTCTACTCAAGACAACTAGAGTCTGCACGACATAAAGAAGCCACTCCTATAAAGATTTCAGCTTGGTTTGACGCGTTTAAAGCACGAATTGAAGAGCGAAAGTACAAGCCATGCAACATCTATAATATGGATGAGACAGGTTTTGCAGTTGGAGAGACTCAATCCACGCGAATAATTGTTGATTCTACCTTGAAATCCAATTGGAAGGTCACAGCTGGGAAGCAGGAGTGGATAACTGTACTTGAATGCATTGATGCAGACGGTGGTGCTTTACCACCTATGATTATATTCAAGGCTAAGAATACCAATTCAAGTTGGATTCCAAAGGACACCCCTACAAACTGGCACTTCTCAACAAGTAATAGTGGCTGGACTTCAAACAGTCATGGATTTGAGTGGTTGCGGAAGGTATTTGAGCCTGAGTCACGCAAAAAGTCTGGAAATCACCTGCGAATGTTGATTATGGATGGCCATTCTAGTCACATTACTGGCGATATGATTGCACTGTGCATTGAGAATGACATCGACCTTCTTATTCTACCGCCTCATTGCTCTCATCTACTCCAACCACTTGATGTTGCGGTGTATGGACCTCTTAAGCGATTTCATGCTCAGGAAGTAGATCGGTATACTCGAGCAGGAATAAAGCGAATCCAGTGCTCCCACTGGGTTGAAATCTTCCGGTGTATTCGAGAGAAGGGTCTTATACCTCAAAACATTAAAAGTGGGTGGAGGGCAGCAGGTTTAATACCCTTTCTCCCAGAAAGAGTTCTGGCTAACCTTCCACTTCCACCAACCGAACCACCTCGCACTCCTCAAAACTCAACCAATATCACTACTCTGGATCTCTCAATACTCCGAAGTTCTCCTCCAGATGGAACTGAACTAAGGCATGCAAATTTAGTATTTAATTCAAGTATGGCAACTTGTGACTCTCCTGCTTCACCAACTCGACGCTATGCCAAGAGAATGACTAGGCTGGTTGAAAGTCAGAATGCTGAACTCAGCATCCTTCGGAAGGAGGTAAAAGAGTACAAAGAGATACTTGAGACACGAAAGAAAAGAACTACGGGCAAGAGAATTAAGTTGCAAGGCGAATTTGTATTCAGTACCGAGGAAGTGTTGAAAATTGTCCGGGAGGCAGAGTTGAAGTCAACCGAGAAAAGACCACGTGGAAGGCCACGCAAACGGCCAATTGAAGAAGTAGACGAGGAACTTGAAGAGGAAGAGGTAGAGAACGATTCAAGCGACCCAGAATTGGAATTGGAGGAGTGTGTGGCACGTAGGACTCGGTCAACTAGAGTAGAATAAACTTTTTGTCCAACTACCCCATATGTCCAACTACCCCATACGTTACGTTATTATATTATTATAAGGAAAATAAAACAGTCAACCTGAATATTTATTAAGGTCTACATCTATTCTATACGTACTTCTCTATTTCGCTTGAATTCTCCTCTTTAGAATATTTTAGATTACTTGTGGAGTATATGGTAGTAGCGTGTTTTGGTATTATGGGCCTATAGCCTTATAAGCCAATTATAGTAATATTTATAGTAAACTAAGAAGTGGTAGCGTCAACAGTAGTGTATTGATCTACCTAGACTATTGTAGAAGAAGAAACTAATCTACATTTCGTAGAACTGGCTGAGAAACTCCTCTGATTCTTTTGTTGGAGGCAACAGTACCAATGTATCATCGGATGGCAAGACCCACTTGAAATTGGTAGGCTCAGTTTCTTCAGCCAACATCTCCCAAGCTTCATATGCTCTGCCAGCATCAAGATCAACATGGAAACCATGCTGAGTAGTATCGTAATCATCAGGGTACCACTCAGCTGGCCCAGGAAGATATGCAATGTCACCATCAAGATTCCATGAGGTGAAGTTTCTCCAAACAGCCATTTCCATCTTTGAGAAGTATAGATGTGGCGGAACCTTGTTGTAGTAGATCCTAGAGATGTTAGCTAGTTACTATAATTATTACTATAGTTACTTACCCTGTAGTTGGATCAATTGCAGGGGGCAATTTCTCAAGGAAGTCTGGGTCTGTGTTGACCTTCTTCATTAGTCGTAACGTTGATTGGTATGCAACCCTCCACTTTCGGCGCCAGAGGGAGAATCCCAACTGATCCACCTTCTATATTATATTAGTAAAGCTCAAATATAATGGGTAATGGGTTCTCATCCATACCTTGGTTGTAGCGACAGATTGTGCCACCATCTCTCTCTGGATCTTCTGAATTCCAACATCATCAACGCCATTGGCCTTCTCATCTTCCCTCCACATAGCCTCTTGCACTACCTCATCATCCTCATCCTCGGTTTCCCAAGCAATGTTTCCGTCGTCCCAAAGAGAATATGCCCCCCCTCCCTCACCAATCCCAAGACGTTGCTGAACAACAGTTGCATGCTTTCACTGTTTCTATGTTACTATACTTATTACTATAACAGTGGATAGGAATAGATCTTACCGCTTGAGAGCTACCTCGGTCTTTTTGGCTTCTACTGTAAGGACACAGGGCACCCAGCTCACAGTAATAGCATATGAGAGTGCGAGTCGGAGGCTAAACGGATGCTATCCTATAGGTCTACTACGAAGGATACGAAAAAGATGATGGGGAACCCCGTCAGTCGATTTTCTCAAGTATCCGAAACCCATCCGACTCGGTTCCGACTCGGTTAGGCCACCCAAATGATCACACGTGACCCCGCAGCTACCCGGAGTCTACTCCCTAGAATGAGAGACGAGAAGGCATCCTTACATCTACTCGACGTTCTTGAGCTTGGCTGTCGAGGTTCTTGAACTCAGAAGTTGCCCGGAGATTTCGCAAGGCATATGAAACAGCAGCTGTATCTGCCCTCTTGGCGTTGTGTGTTCAACTTCACTCATGTTGTTGCGGCGTTTTGTGACCTGCTGGGTATTCTTGTTCTTCGACTTCTCGTCGTCGTTCTTTCGTTTTCCAACCATCGTGGCTGTCTTACTATAACAATTACTATAAAGTAAGTAGAAAGGATTGAGTAGACTTACCTCCTTGATCTTAGAAGTGTCGGTGGTGTTGGGGGTGTTGGGGGTGTTGGGGGTGTTGGGGGTGTTGGGGGTGTTGGGGGTGTTGGGGGTTGACGAAGAAGGTTGAAGAAGAAGGTTGAAGAAGGAAGGTTGAAGAAGAAGGTTGAAGAAGAAGGTTGTTGTTGTGGGGTAAAACACGTCAATAAGGTCGCTTACTATTGTTGTCCTTACTATTGTTGTGGGAGAATTCACCTTTATCGCCTACTACCATACAAAAAGTGAAGCTGAAGACATTTTACTAAGCGAGCTAGCTCACAACCCCAACAACAACAACCTCACCCTACGTGGCTATTTGTAGGCCTTTCGGAGGTTCTGCTTCGACCCCCCAAAAGCCCCCTATTCTGGTGGCTTCAGAGCTGAAACCCCAGTTGAGACTGTGGTGGTTTCCAGCACCGGTCGGAGATCCTGGGACGCCGTAGTGGGATTCTGCCATTATAGGGCCAAATACCACCGTATCCCAGCGCCCACGGCCTACTCTCCAACAAACCATGATGCGATCTGTGATCACGTGCATTTGGGTTTAGCTTGGAGGTAATGGGTGTTGAGTAATATGCGTGTGTATTCCTGTCTATCTATTGCTGCCTGAAATTGCGGGGAAGTGGTGCTGAGATCATGTGACATATTACAACACACCCCCCCATGTATCCCAGTACCGCATACTAAGTAGGAAGGCTCGCAGGCAAATCCGTATGGGTCTGAATTTGGAGTTCTGGGCCAACAACCTTTTTCTACCCCCACCCCCGCCACTACCAAGCACCAACTTTCCACTCTCGCACAGCTCCGTACGTGACTCACAATGACTGTTATTGGTGAAATCAAGCCTCAAGACATGGCTCTGGTTGAGATCAGGGCTGACCTCCATGATGACTTGCCGGAGTACGAGAGGGTCAAAATACCATCCCTACCCCCAATTGTGGTTGGCGTGGAATTGGCCCGTCCGTACAGTGTTGCTGGTGTGGTGGAGTCTGACCACCCACAACAGACAACGGCTTGGTACATCCAGGCTGTAGGAGACATGGATGCTGGCTGTGACCAGTGTGTACACGATCGGGGCAGTGCTCGGGCTCGTCCCTTCTTCTCTGCCTGCCATCACTATGGCGAGCTGCAGGAAGGAGCCTGTGGTAAGACACTAACACATAGTAGGCCACAAGAAAACTTGGAGACCTGCCACGCCACCACCTCCGCCATCTCCCAAAGCTGGGAAAAGATCTGGCACCCGTGCCTTCGCCCGACAGAAAGCTATTGATGAAGAAGCTGCTGCTCAGCTTCGTGGGTAATCTCCGTACGCCTCACTTCTAGTGCTCTCAGTGTTCTGGTGCTCTCGGTGTTCTGGTGCTCTCGGTGTTCTGGTGCTCTCGGTGTTCTGGTGCTCTCGGTTGTGAATGAGGCCTAAATGACAGTGGATTTCTCTGCAATTTTAATGTGACAGGTCCGTACGTAGTTGTGAGTGTGGGAAAATGGGTGATTCTCCTGTTTTTGTATAGTAAAAGTCAGGGATTTCTCCTGCTCTTGTCTGCCTTCCCCCCTTTGTTGAAATGGGTTTGGAATTTCGAAAAATGAATGTGAAATCTCCATGCATATATTGCATCTATGTCGTACGGAGTTGTGTAGTCTTCCAAATGAGTGTATGTTTATTATTTCCCAAGGTATTCCATTGGGAAAGTTGAAATAAGAACGCATAGTAAAACTAGGTGTAACTGTAGGCGGCTTTGGTGCTTTTGAGAGTTCTACCTCCGTACGGAACTCATCCATTAGCTATTCTTGTCTTGCCTCACTTTTCAGTTAGTGAAGTAGAAGACTAGACTCTTTGGTCTAGGGGGCTGCTTTCCATAGTACAAAGGTAGCCAGTGCTTTGTACGGGGTTGTGTTGTATGTATGCACTCCTATAGGAGATGCTTTATGTCTACAAGGTTCAAATGTTTAATGAACTCCTTGTGCTTCTGATGGGGTAGGGCCTTAGTAAAGCCGTCTGCTGGCATCTCGTACGTAGCTATCCACTTAATATTGAGGTTCCGATGCTCAACCTCCTGTCTTAACCAATGTGAGTGGACGTCGATATGCTTCAGCTTTGTAACTAGCTTTGGAGACTCCTTAAGTAAGATCCGTACGGTCTGCAAATTATCACAATTAAGTGAGTATTGCTCGTTTAGATCGAGTTTGATTGTGTTGAAGAAACACTGCCACCAATAGAGCTGTTTTGCACTGTGGGACAAAGCTAGAAGCTCTGCCTCTGTTGTAGATGTTGACACAGTCTTCTGCTTTGAGCAGCGCCAGTCTATTGCCCCTCCAAATAAGGTAAACAAATAACCCTCTGTGCTCTTTCTTGTTGATTCGCAGTCTGCGTACGAAGCGTCACTAGAGCATTGAAAGCGAGCCTCTTGAATATTAGGTCCAAACTGAAGAGCTAGGGTCTTAGTATCCTTAAGGTAGAGTAGAAGTCTGTCGACTGCAGCCATGTGGTCTGGGCCTGGATTGATGAGAAATTCCGATAGTTTCTGTGTCGTACGGGCTATATCAGGTCTCGTTACAACTGCTGCGTAGTTTGCTGATCCTACTTTCTGTTGGTAAAGATGGATTTGTTGCTTATCTGCCTGGCCGTCAAATTGGGTTAGGTTGTCTGTAACCATTGGCGTTCGGGTGGATCGAATAGAGGCTACTCCGTACGTAGTTGTGATCTTGTCGATATAGGAGTCCTGGCACAGCCATAGGGTTTTCTGGGTGCGGTCCCTCACAATTCTTATGCCTAAGAACCATTGAAGTTCTCCTATTTCTCGAAACTCATACGCTTCCATCAGTCTCGTACGGAACTGTGTTGCCTCCATTTTGTGGCTAGGATGGCTAAGGATGCAAATATCGTCAACATAGAAGAAGACAATAATCTTTGAAGATACAAAGAGGCACTGTGCTTCTGGGACCTGTACGAGGCCTAGAGCCTTGAGTGTCTCTGAGAAGTCTCGAAACCAGAGTAAGGGGGACCTTCGAAGTCCATAGAGTGCCCTGTTAAGTTTCCAGCATTTTCCTTGCTCCTTTGGCTTGTTTAGAATAAGGGCATAGGCTCTACAGCCATAAGCGCGAATATGAGAGAGTAATGGCTTAAGTAACTCTGGCTTTTGGCTCTCTGTAGGTAAGGACTGGAGTAGAAGTCCGTACGGGGTCTCATCGTTTATGACTGACGATGGTGAGCGGTTTATGAGGTACCCTGCTGTTTTGAAAATCTCAGGCCACATTCCTTCTGGTAAGTTGGCTGATTCTTTAAGTGCGCGTGATCGTGTGATTATCGTACGGCCTGACCTCTCTATTCCTCCGTTCGGCTCTGCTGTATAGGGTGGAGAGATGTGGATTTCATATCCTTCGTCCTTAATCCAACCCTCCCATTCATTTCCAAGTGAGGCTTCACCATCTAGGTGGAATATGCGGATTTGGAACCCCCATCTTCTCCGTACGTAGCTCACAAAGTCCTTAATCGTCTGTAGGAGCGTTCCTTGTGTTTTATCCTTAATAATATAGACGTGGTTCATGCGGCAATTATCACATAGGAAGTGTAAGGCTTGTGTGCTGCCATCGTACGCCTCTGGCATTTGGATTAGGTCAAGGTGGACCTTCTCATATGGCACTTTTGAGCGTGGTGTAGATCTTCTAGAAATCTGCCTTGTAGCATGCGTAAGTCGGCATACTTCGCACTGAGTATCGTACGAGTCTAGGTCTGTGACGATAACTTGTAATGGTGGGTGCACCAGATGTGAGAATCTAGCCACCCAAGGAAGGGATGATTTTACTAAGACAACACACTGTCTTAGGAAACAGAGCCAAAGGGTTGTAGCTTAGACTATTCCACAACGCAGCAATCAGGTGTGTGATGTAGTGAAGTGGTTCAGACAAGTTGCAACAAATGTTGAGTCTGGGAACTCAGGGGTAAGTCAGAGGTTAGCACCTCACTGACTTTTCAAAAACAGAGAATAACAAGATCAATGCTTGGAAGCTTGGAAAAGACGTAGAAGTATGTGCTAGTCGATTTACTGTATTGCCTGCTTGCCCTTTCTTAAGGAAAGGGCAATCCTATTTATGCCAAAGGAGTGTAGTTCTCTCATTTTCCATGACTTTCCATGACTAACCAGGCTTGGTAAATGTATTAGAAATCAAGTGCGACCCACAACTAGCTTGCTAATCATGTAGTGAACGTAAGAGAATCCCATAGAACCATCTCTTGGGTTCCTAGCCTATAGGAAGTGAAAAGGAGGTCCAAGGTCAGAGTACCTATAGATAAATTATGTCATAACTTAACCAATCTTGTGGGTAACTAAGGAGCGATGACGTGTAATGAATCATAGAGGGTTGTAGAAGCTTCTAGAGCTATCGTTCATGTTCCTAGGCCTCTAGTTGGTAGAGATATGCCATGTGGTAGTATTGGCCCACCCCCTTAAGGAGGAGATTTTCTTAATAACTTGTTCAATGAGTGTTCAAATGATATGCCGTGATGTATGTAGCATAAACAGATGTAGTAGAAGAGTTTGCAGCAATTGTTGAGTAGTATTGCTTCTGTTGTTGGTGTGATAAGCCAAGATATGTATGGTGACTTGTAGGTTTGAGGAGGAGATTTCTAAGTTTGCTCTTGAGTTTGATAGCAAACTGAGTGCAACGAATGTCAGTATGACATAACTCCGGCGGTCTTCTCTTGGAGTTTTCTAATGGCGTTTTGGTTTAGGTGTCCCATGCGGTTATGCCATTCCTTTGCAGTGCCTTTTAGGTCCTTACGAGGTCCGTACGAAGATAGGACAACGTTGTCCTGTTGATCCTGAGTGCTATAAACAGCTCGGGTAGGCTCATTTTTGATGTATTCAAGAACCCATTGTCCATGAAGCATTGGAGTGTTGCAGAACGGTTGATCTCCGTACGTAAGTCCT